TTTTGGGTTTTTTTGGGGGTTTTTTAGGGTTTTTTTTATTTTTGGGGGGTTTTTTTTTTTTTTTTTTTGGGGGGGTTTTTTTTGGGTTTGTGGGGTTTTTTTTTTTTTTTTTTGGGTTTTTTAGGCGTTTTTTAATTTTATTTATTTTATTTTTTATATTATTTTATTTTATTATTTTATTTTATTTTATCTATTTATTTTATTTATTTATTTTATTTTATTTTATTTATTTTAAAAATTTTATTTATTTTATTTTATTTAATTTATTTTATTTTAATTTCATTTCATTTAAATGTTATTTTATTTATTTTATTTTATTTTATTTTATTTTATTTCTTTTATTTATTTCTTTTATTTCTTTTATTTTATTTCTTTTATTTATTTATTTTATTTTGTTTATTTTATTTTATTTTATTTCTTTTATTTTATTTTATTTCTTTTATTTATTTATTTTATTTTATTTTATTTCTTTTATTTTATTTTATTTATTTTATTTATTTTATTTTATTTTATTTTATTTTATTTCTTTTATTATATTTATTTTATTTATTTATTTATTTTATTTATTTCAATTTTATTTATTTCCTGCATTTAACTTCTCTCTGGCCGTGCCTCCCCGCGGCAGGTACACGTTCACCGGGATTTACACCTTCGAGTCGCTGGTGAAGATCATCGCGCGCGGCTTCTGCATCGACGGCTTCACCTTCCTGAGGGACCCCTGGAACTGGCTGGACTTCAGCGTCATCATGATGGCGTAGGCGGCCCCGGCACCCCGGGCGGGGGAGGCTGGGGAAATCCGGGAAAATCCGGGAAAATCTGGGAAAAGGCTGGGGAAATCCGGGGAAAATCCGGGAAATGGCGGGGGAAATCTGGGAAAATCCGGGGGAAAATCTGGGAAATGGCAGGGGGAAATCCGGGAAATGGCAGGGGGAAATCTGGGAAATGGCAGGGGGAAATCCGAGAAAATCCGGGAAAAATCTGGGAAATGGCGGGGGAAATCCGGGAAATGGCAGGGGGAAATCTGGGAAAAGGCAGGAGAAATCCGGGAAATGGCAGGGGAAAATCAGGGGAAAAGGCAGGGGAAATCCGGGAAAAGGCAGGGGAAATCCGGGAAATGGCAGGGGGAAATCAGGGAAATGGCAGGGGGAATCCGGGAAATGGCAGGGGAAAATCCGGGAAATGGCAGGGGAAATCCGGGAATATGGCAGGGGAAATCCGGGGAAATGGCAGGGGGAATCCGGGAAATGGCAGGGGGAATCCGGGGAAATGGCAGGGGGAAATCAGGGAAATGGCAGGGGAAATCCGGGAAAAATCCGGGAAATGGCAGGGGGAAATCCGGGAAATGGCAGGGGGAAATCTGGGAAAAGGCAGGAGAAATCCGGGGAAATGGCAGGGGAAAATCTGGGAATATGGCAGGGGAAAATCCGGGGAAATGGCAGGGGAAAATCTGGGAAAAGGCAGGGGAAAATCCGGGAAAAGGCAGGGGAAATCCGGGAAATGGCGGGGAAAAATCAGGGGAAATGGTAGGGAAAAATCCGGGAATATGGCAGGGAAAAATCCGGGAATATGGCAGGGAAATGGCAGGGAAAAATCAGGGGAAATGGCGGGGAAAAATCCGGGAAAAATCCGGGAAATGGCAGGGAAAAATCCAGGAAATGGCAGGGGAAAATCAGGGGAAATGGCAGGGGAAAATCAGGGGAAATGGCAGGGAAAAATCCGGGGAATAGCAGGGAAAAATCAGGGGAAATGGCGGGGAAAAATCAGGGGAAATGGCAGGGAAAATGGCAGGGAAATGGCGGGGAAAATTAATGGAAAATGGCAGGGAAAAAAGGGATGGAGGCAGGGAAAAAGGTCAGGAAAAAATCAGGGAAAATGGCAGGGGAAAAAGGGATGGAAAAAGTCAGGGGAAAAGGGATGGAGGCAGGGAAAATGTCAGGGGAAAAGGGATGGAAAATGTCAGGAAAAAAGGGATAGAGGCAGGGAAAATATCAGGGAAAAAGAAATGGAAAATGTCAGGGAAAAATGGATGGGAAATGTCAGGGGAAAAGGGATGGAGGCAGGGAAATGGCAGGGAAAAAGAAATGGGAAAAGTCAGGGAAAAAGAAATTGAGTCAGGGAAAATGTCAGGAAAAAAGGCGGGAAAAAAGAAATTGAGTCAGGAAAAAAAGGCGGGAAAAAAAGGCGGGAAAAAAGGCAGGAAAAAAGGCAGGAAAAAAGAAATTGAGTCAGGAAAAAAGTGAGGAAAAAAGAAATTCAGTCAGGAAAAAAGGTGGGAAAAAAAGGCAGGAAAAAAGGTGGGGAAAATCAGGAAAAAAGAAATTGAGTCAGGGAAAACGTCAGGGAAAAAGTCAGGAAAAAAGGCGGGGAAAAAAAGAAATTGAGTCAGGGAAAAAAGGCAGGAAAAATGAAATGGAGTCAGGAAAAAAGGGGAAAAAAATCAGGAAAAAAAGAAATTGAGTCGGGAAAAAAGTCAGGAAAAAAGAAATTGAGGAAAACCTCAGTGAACCCCCTTGATTTTTCCAAGGAAATTTTGCCCTGATGGGATTTCAGCTCTGCAACAGCACAAAGTTCGTGGGGTTGCAAAAATAAAAAAAAAAAATATAGGATTTTCTACAAATTGCCTTGATTGATGCGAGGTTCTTGGTGGTTCCTACACCAGAGGAACCAAATATGAAATTTAAATTCCAGCCTTTCCCACCCCTTCCTTAGACTGTGATTAACAACCCATTAATAACCAATTAATAACCAATTTTAGGAACCAAATATTTTAAATTTCAGCCTCTCCCAGCCCTTCCTTGGGCTGTGATTAACAACCCATTAATAACCAATTAATAAACAATTTTAGGAACCAAATATTAAATTTAAATTCCAGCCTCTCCCACCCCTTCCTTGGGCTGTGACTGGAGTTTGGATTCTGATTAATAACCCATTAATAACCCATTAATAACCATTAATAACTAATTTTAACCAATTTTAACCCATTTCCCACCAAGCTGCAGTGTCAGAGAGGAAAAATTTGATTTTCCTTCATGTTTTTTTTCTCTTGTGCTTGTTTGGGCTGATACTGGGGGGCATTAAATTCCCGTTTTTTTCCATATTTTCCCTTTTTTTTAAAATTTTTCCATGCAAAGCCAATAACCAGCATCTCCCAACGCCTGAATTTTTGCTGTTTCTCTATCTTTCATTATTTATTTAAATTATATACAAAGAATTAGACATTCTCCATGAAAAGCCAACAACCAGCAGCTCCCAACGCTTGAATTTTTTGAAGCCCTCGAGTCCTTTTTGCAGCAGGAAAAATCCTGAATGTTGAACGTTTCTTTGCTTTTTCATAAAGGATTAAAAATGGAGGATGCTAATTAAAATGAAGGATGTTAATTAAGTGGAAGGATGTTAATCAAAGCAGAAGATTATTATGTTTTCTTAAAAAAAACATGAAGTGAAGGGAATTTACCTGAAACCTTAAAACAGAGAGGGCAGAGCGACTTAAAAATTCTTTTTATATTTTTGGACAAAAACGAAGTACAACTAGCTGTAAGTGTAATGTAAAATTAGCAGAATAAATATACATTAACCTATTGTAAAGTTCTATACATATAGAAATCAGCACGCCTCATTTTACCTTCATTTTGTCTTAAAAAAACTCACTTTAAACTTCATTTTAAACCTCATTTTACCCTCATTTTGTCTCTCTCGCTCTCATTTCGATGCCACTTCTGGAGTGTTTGAAATCACGAGCTGCTTTCCTTATGATTTATTAAAAAAATCTGGATATTGATCCAGTATCAATATCCAACTGTGAGGGACAAAAACTCCTGAACAGTTTAAAGTTAGAAAGTGATTTATTAAAAATACGGATGTTGATCTAGTACTGATATCCAACTGTGAGGGACAAAAACTCTCAAATAATTTAAAGTTAGAATGTGATTGATTAAAAAATCTGGATATTGATCCAGTACCAATATCCAGCTGTGAGGGACAAAAACTCTCTATCAGTTTAAAGTTAGAAAGTGATTTATTAAAAAAATCTGGATATTGATCCAGTACCAATATCCAACTGTGTGGGACAAAAACTCTCTATCAGTTTAAAGTTAGAAAGTGATTTATTAAACAACTATGGATGTTGATCTAGTACCAAAATCCAACTGTGAGGGACAAAAACTCTCAAACAGTTTAAAGTTAGAATGTGATTTATTAAAAATATGGATATTGATCCAGTACCAACATCCAGCTGTGAGGGACAAAAACTCTCTATCAGTTTCAAGTTAAAAAGTGATTGATTAAAAATATGGATGTTGATCTGGTACCAATATCCAACTGTCAATGAATTTTTTTCCTCCTTCTGACCCTTCTGCCTTTTCAATGCCAATATCACAAATGAACTCTTGGTGGAACTCCCATTCCTTGTTTTCGATTGGTTTCAGAACAGAGGAGCCCCACAATTGTTTCATGCTCCTAAAAGCAATTTATCAGTTTATATTCTTCGTTATAAACCCAGCTAACTCAACACTGTCCTGACAAGCAATCCCTTATTAAACTCCTGACTCTTAACTCCATCGAGGCCTACTCATTTATTGTAATTAACTCCAGGCAAGGCTCATCTCTAACTAAAACCCTCTAAAAATCTGCCAACTCTTTAAAATGTCCGCTTGGCTCACGAGCAGCCAAGGGCTGCGCAGGAGGCTGAGCCCAGCGGTGCCATTAACTCTGGTTTAATTCTGCAGGTATATAACAGAGTTTGTAAACCTAGGCAATGTTTCAGCTCTGCGCACTTTCAGGGTTCTGAGAGCTTTGAAAACTATTTCTGTAATTCCAGGTAAGGCGGCCCCGCTCGGTGTTTTTTAGCTGTCGGGTGCAGGCCCCTGTGAGTGACGTATTGCTTTGTCTGTAGTGGTTGTTGGGTTTTGGTGTGTGGCGTTGTCATGGTGTTTTTTTTTTGTTTTTGTTTTGTTTTTTTTTTTCTTTTTTTTGGTTTTTTTTTTTTTTTTTTTTTTTTTTTTTTTTTTTTTTTTTTTTTTTTTTTTTTTTTTTTGTGTGCGACCTCCCTCACTGCAGATATGTCACAGAGTTTGTGGACCTTGGGAATGTCTCAGCATTGAGAACTTTCAGAGTTCTCCGAGCTTTGAAAACTATCTCTGTCATCCCAGGTGAGAAGCGGTCAGCGTTAAAGGCTGGGCTCGTGTGCGTCTCCCCTCTGTATTTCCCCTCCTGCACTGCTCATTCCTCAGATTTGGGATTTGTTGTTTTTATTTTTTGGATGGGATTTGCAGTCTGTGTAACAAAGCAGTTTGAAATCAAGGCTCCTGGGCTGCCAAATTACGGGATGAACAGGCTGCCACTCCACATTTTCTGTCCCTTTGTGTGCACATTTCAGACTGATCTCCGAGACTAAAGCCAGGCTGCAAAGTTTAATTCCAGATTAAAAGGATCAGGCTCCTCTCAGGCTGGACAGCTGCAGGCTCAGGGACTCGCCCTGTTATTGTCAGTGGTTTTGGAGTTGCTTTAGGAATAATTTTATAAAGCAACAGAGCAAAACCCAACCGAGATGAAAACCTTTTGTCAGGACCACCCTTCCCAAAGCTGCTCTGGATTTGTAACTCAGCTGGGTGAGCAGTGGCCCTTCCTTTGGGACACCATGGACTGAGAAAATGACAATTTCTGTCTGGTTTGGGCTGGGAAGAACCTTAAAGCTCAACTTTTTCCAGATAATTTGAATCCCAGCTCTGACCAGCCTGGCCTGGAACACTTCCTGATCCTGAATTCTTGTACAGAAAAGCTTCATGCACATAATTCCTCAATTATGGTCTTACAGGCACTCAGCTTTCTGGTTCCCAGGTGCTCAACCTGTTCCAAGGCAGGCACCTGAAACAAATTCTCCTTTAATGATGAGTTTTGGTCTCAAAACAAAGTTCCTGTGTGGTTTTTTCCCTGATGCATTCCCTGATCCTGCAGTGCTGGTTTTTTTTCTGCCAGGGACATCCCTTTTATCCCATCCCAGACTGCCAACCCCATCAGCTGCACCTGCCTGTTGTGCATGATGATGATGATGATGATGATGATGATGATGATGATGATGGTGGTGGTGGTGGTGGTGATGCTTTCCTTCACCCACTGAGAACACCCTGGATGTTCCTACTGAGCCTTCCTTCATCTCTGGTGACATCTAAGAGCAAAAAAGAAAACCTTTGGGAATTGCTGCTGAGGGGTGGTTTGCCTTTCTCTCAGCCTGCTCCAGAGAGCTCTGGCTCGCTCAGAGAAGCATCGATGTTAAAAAACAATTTTTTTGCCTGTTTTTTGCTTTCTTCATTGGAGCAGCGTGGAGGGGATGCAGCTTTGAGGAGCTGGTGTGACAGCATGCCTTGTGTGTTCCCCTGGAAGGGAGCAGAACAGCTCAGTTTTGGATGATTCTCCCCATAAAATTCAAAATTTAGAGTTTTATTTCAAACTGAGCAGAACAGCTCCGTTTTGGATTATTCTCTCTGTAAAATTCCAAACTTACAGAGTTTTATTTCAAACTGAGCAGAACTGGATTATTCTCTCTGTAAAATTCAAACCTTACAGAGTTTTATTTCAAAGTGAGCAGAACAGCTCAGATTTGGATTATTCTCCCTGTAAAATTCCAAACTTACAGAGTTTTATTTCAAATAGCAGGGGGTGGAGCTGAGCCCTGCTAAGTTCAGCACATTTTTAATATCATTTTTATTAGAGGGACAATTTGCTGCGTATTTTGATCGAATAAAAGGGGTGATCTGCCACACACAGCCAAGGGGATCCTGTTTGGGTGTTGGGGATCCTGATCCTACCTAAAATGGCAAAACTTTAAGGTTTTTTTATCTGGTTTTGGGGGAGGATTGTCTAGGTGTGTTTCAGCAGCACAAATCTTGGCCCCCTCCATTTTGTGACAGCAGGAGGAGTGTAAAGCATTTGAATAATTGGCCTTTTGGGATATTAAATATGAAAGAATAAAGTGCTCTTTGTGGGCTTTACCACTATCATTTTGCAAGGAAAAGGTGATTTTTTAGAATGCACTCAATATTAAAATATAAAGGGGCTCCTCTTCTGCTTCAGCACACGAAATGGGAATTCTAACTCTGTGCTGAGTGACTCATTTTAGTGTTTTGAGTGCCATCTGCACCTTCTGTCAATAAGTGGAATAAAAATGCGTTTGAAACAAGATAAAAATGGGAAATACCACCAAAATTTGGCATGCCACGGCCAAAATTCTGTTTTCTCCACGGGTCTGTGTGACAGCAGCAAACTGTGACACCCATGAGCTGAACCACCAAAATATCTCTTTGGTCTTTTTTTGGTGGAAAACCTGTGGGAAAGCATGATGGCCTCGAGAAATTCTCTATATTGGCACTGATTATATTTTAATTAGCACCTGGGAACGCACCTGCATTCCACAGGATCCAGGGAAACCTGGAGCCATGGAGCACGGGGGTGGAAATTGTTGGAGTTGTGTTTCTCTCGGTGTTCCCAGTACTTGGGCTGGGATTTCTGCTGCTTCTCCTGCTTCCAAACTTCTCCTGGCACACCTGAATTTTTATGTTCCTGGGATGGGTCTAAGCACTGTTGTTCTACAAGGGTTTTGAAGGAGGAGGAGGTTTCTGGTCCAGGATTTATTGCAAAATATTCATGTGGTCTCATCTGGCACCTTGGATCTGGCTGACCCCAAATCCAGCAGTGATTTATTTTTTTTTTTTTCCCTCTTTCCTCCCTTCACTGCTCATTTATAAACCACAGAATCACACCAAAAAGGCTGACTAGAGGAGCCTAATTCAGTGTTTAAAATCCTAGCTAGTTCAGACCTGTCACCTAAAAATTAATTCTGAGCTCTCCCCGCTCAGGAGTTCTGCCTCTCAGTGGGAAAGCAGCAGGATTAGGATTCCTTTTGGAATCTTTTCCTTTTGGTCCTCAGCCTCTTAAGGATCCTCGTGGCCTCAGGAAATGGCAAAGCAGCGATGCTGGGGGTGAAACCCTGCCCTGGATGCAACCAAAACCACCTCTGAGAGGGAAAATTCTGTTCCTGAAAGGGAAAATTCTGTTCCTGAATGGGAAAATTCTGTTACTGAAAGGGAAAATTCTGTTCCTGAGGGGGGAAATTCTGCTCCTGGAAGGGAAATTTCTGCTCCTGAAAAGGAAAATTCTGCTCCTGAGGGGGAAGATTCTGTTCCTGAGGGGGGAAATTCTCCTGAAGGGAAAATTCTGTTCCTGAAAAGGAAAATTTTGTTCCTGAATGGGAAAATTCTGCTCCTGAAAGGGAAATTTCTGTTCCTGAATGGGAAAATTCTGCTCCTGAAAGGGAAAATTCTCCTCCTGAAAGGGAAATTTCTGCTCCTGAAAGGGAAGATTCTGTTGCTGAGGGGGAAAATTGTGCTCCTGAGGGGGAAAATTCTGCTCCTGAAAGGGAAGATTCTGTTCCTGAGGGGGAAAATTCTATTCCTGAGGGGGAAAATTCTCCTCAGGGGGAGAATTCTGCTCCTGAAGGGAAGATTCTGCTCTTGAAAGGGAAAATTCTCCTGAAGGGAAGATTCTGTTCCTGAGGGAGAAAATTCTGTTCCTGAAAGGGAAGATTCTGCTTCTGAGGGGAAAATTCTCCTGAGGGGGAAAATTCTGCTTCTGAGGGGGAAAATTCTCCTGAGGGGGAAAATTGTGCTCCTGAGGGGGAAAATTGTGCTCCTGAAGGAGAAGGGAAATGCTGAGACAGTTGAGTCGAGCAGGAGGAACCCAAGATGTGGAGAGTCAAAGGCATTTGATCCCTGTCAGTTGTTGCAGCCTGTGCCAGCGAGCTCGGCTCCAGCATCCACGAGGATTTTGGTGGCAGCAAAGCCCAATTTGATCCTCACTTGATAAACCCTCGGTGTGGGGGAGAGCGATTCCCCATGTTCTGCATTCCTCAGGGACAAAGGTTGGGGTTTGGGTTGGTTCTGAGCGTTCCTTGCCTCCAGCCCAGTGTTGAACTGGCTGGAATTCCACAAGGAACCTCCACCACTCATAGCCACAACCTTTCCCACCATAGAGTCACTCTTAGGTAGTGAATTAATCTGGATTTTTAGCGTGTTTTCCTTCCACAAAGAACTTCTACCATTTGTAGCCACAACCTTTCCCACTGTAGAATCACTCTTAGTGCATTAATCTGGATTTTCAGTGTGTTTTCCTTCCACAAGGAACCTCCACCCTTCAAACCACAACCTTTCCCACCCTAGAATCACTCTTAGTGCATTAATCTGGATTTTCAGTGTGTTTTCCTTCCACAAGGAACCTCTACCCTTCAAACCACAACCTTTCCCACCCTAGAATCACTCTTAGTGCATTAATCTGGATTTTCAGTGTGTTTTCCTTCCACAAGGAACCTCCACCATTCAAACCACAACCTTTCCCACCCTAGATTCACTCTTAGGTAGTGCATTAATCTGGATTTTCAGCGTGTTTTCCTTCTGCAGGAGTAATTTCTAGTCTCATTTCCCTCTCCACAGGCTTGAAGACCATCGTGGGCGCCCTGATCCAGTCTGTGAAGAAGCTGTCGGACGTGATGATCCTGACAGTTTTCTGCCTCAGTGTCTTTGCCCTCATCGGGCTCCAGCTCTTCATGGGCAATTTAAGGAACAAATGTGTGATTTGGCCAATTAATGTCAATGAGACCTTCCTGGATAACGGCTCCAAGGGCTTCGACTGGGAGGAGTACACCAACAATATGTGTAGGTATTTCTGCACCGAGGCTCCCGAAAACCTCCTGGCTTGGCTTGATGCAGCTGCCCAGGAGTTCCAGCACTGAAAACCCCACGTGCAGAAGTTTTTTTATTTTGGATCTCACTTTATTGAGGTGTTCCTAGATGAGTTCATCCTTCAGAAGGGTTTGGATGTGCGCTTTCAGCTAAATAATTTATCCAAAACATATTTTTACTGATAGATTCCTCAGCAGTGCTTTTGTGGGGGGGGCTTTTCAGTGAAGGTTTTAATAGTGTTACAATCTATTAAATCCTCTAACTGGGCTTTAAAGTGAAGGTTTTAATAGTGTTACAGTCTAGTAAATCCTCTAACTCCACATGTGTGTGAATGTAACCTCTTCTTTTTCATCTTCAGCCAATTTTTACATCATTCCTGGTGCCCCCGACCCTTTGCTGTGTGGTAACAGCTCAGATGCAGGGTGAGTGTTGAGCTTTGGGAATAATCATTTCTCCCTGATGTTACCTGAAGCTGGCCAAACCTTTGGAATATTCCCTGTTGCTTCCTCTGTTGCTTCTGGTGCTACTTCACCAGATTTTCAAATTTCTTAACTTAATTACGAGCCCATTGCTGATGCAGTGGAAGGGACATTTGCCCTGTCAGGGGGCACCAATGAATCCAATTATTTCAGTGGCATTTTTTCCCTCTGAATCCAATCAGAGGAGGATGGGTGGAGGTTCAGGAGTGGGAATTTGCCCCATCCTGTTGGTTTTCCACCCCAGCCTCCAGCTCTGGGGACCCTCGTGGCCCAAGCTGCTGCCTTGGGCTCAGGTTTAGGGAAAAGCTGCTCCTTGCAGCGAGGGGGAGCAGGGCTAAAATCCTGCCTGCTGTTCCCAAATGGGAAAAGAGCTGCTGTTTTTTGGGAGAGCCCTGAACTGGCTGTTGTCCCTCCCCAGCCAATGTCCAGAGGGATACACGTGCATGAAGGCAGGACGGAACCCCAACTACGGCTACACCAGCTTTGACACCTTCAGCTGGGCTTTCCTGGCTTTATTTCGCCTTATGACTCAGGACTTTTGGGAGAACTTGTATCAATTAGTAAGTAAACGCTTCTCTTTGGGGAGAATTTGGGGGTGAGACAGGAAAGGGAAATGTGAGAAGCTTTGTTTTACTCCTTCTCTCCAAAAGAGCACGAGTAAACCTTCGCAGTGAGGTTTTTTTTAAGGGGACATTACCTGTCAGCAGGTGATGGGTTTTAAATTCCAGAAGGGATGGTGGGTCCAGCTGAGCTGGGAATTAATTTGGGAGGAGCCTTAGCAGTGGCTGCAGGAGGCTGTGGGCATTCAGCTCCTCTCACAGAGGGTGCTCAGCCTCTTTGGAGAGAGATTTCTCCTGACCTGAGGGTGCTTTGGGGACCTTGCTGAAGCAGCTTTTTCTTCATTTGGTTTGTTTTAAGGGAGCCTGAGAGTTGGGTCTCACGCTGTGCCTCTGAATTATTTTCAGTTTGGACGTTCCCTTAAGGGAGGAAGGTGGATGTCACCTTTTGTGTTCACGGGTCTCTGCAGGGAAAACGCTGAGCTTTGGAATATTCAGGATTTTCTTAGAAACATTCAGGTCAAGAAACCTGGGATCAGCTCTTGCATCTCCTCTCAGGGAAGCCCGAGGTTGCTGATTTTTTCCCTTTTTCTAATCCCTCTGCCATTCTTTTCCAGACTTTACGAGCGGCAGGAAAAACCTACATGATCTTCTTTGTGCTGGTGATCTTTGTGGGCTCCTTCTACCTGGTGAATCTGATTTTGGCCGTGGTGGCCATGGCCTACGAGGAGCAGAACCAGGCGACCCTGGAGGAGGCAGAGCAGAAGGAGGCAGAATTCAAGGCCATGTTGGAGCAATTGAAAAAGCAGCAGGAAGAAGCACAGGTGAGAAAAAATAAAAATAAAACAATTCCTCTGTGTAAGAGGCTCAGGCTGCCAGAGAAAAGCTGATTTTACACACTATAAAAATTCTAACAAATTCTGGCTTGCAAGTTTCTTCCGAGGAGAGAACAAACCTCTCAGTCCTGCCCCAAAAAGTCGTTTACTCAGGTGCGTTAAGCCAAGCTGTTTCTTCAAACAGAAAGGTGGAAAGATGTGGTTTTTGCCATTTATTTTTCCTTGCCAGGCTGCTGCCATGGTCACCTCGGCGGGGACGGTGTCTGAGGATGCTGTGGAGGATGACGGTGGGGGGAGGATGTCTCGGAGCTCCTCGGAGATCTCCAAGCTCAGCTCCAAGAGCGCCAAGGAGCGGCGGAACAGGAGGAAGAAGAGGAAGGACAGGGAGCTGTCGGAGGGGGACGAGAAGTGCGACAACGAGAAGGTGTTCAAGTCGGAGTCGGAGGATGGCATGAGGAGGAAAGCGTTCAGGCTGCCCGATAACAGGCTGGGGAGGAAATTTTCCATCATGAACCAGGTTTGTGTTCCCTCACTAATGTCTGGGGTTGCTCGGGGTCAGGGAAATGTCCTGGTTTAGATTCCCTGTTGGCGCTGTGGCTGTAGGACACGTGAAAGCGCAACACGAGCCACTGCTATTTGCAAAGTAAAGAAAGAAAGTTTATTTTCTGCCTCCAACCTTTGTACTTTTCCAAAGGTGACAGTGGATTGGAGAGTGGATGTGCCACCTCTCCAAAAACATTGGACAAACTACTAGTACATCTCCACCCCTATGAGGGAATGCAAAACAATTTGTTGTTTGTAGAAAATTGTGTGAGAAAGTTTTCTAGCAGAATGTAAACTCAGAAGGCTTTAGAAAATCTTAAGAATGCTCGCTCTTCCTCCCTCTTCCTCCCCCAAGTCTCTCCTCAGTTTCTCCTCAACACTCACTCTGTCCTTCCTCAGTCTTTTCTCAGCCTCTCCTCAACACTCACTCTTCCTCCTCCTCCTCTTCGTCCTCAGTCTCTCTTCAGCCTCTCCTCAACGCTCACTCTTCCTCCTCTTCCTCCTCAGTCTCTC